TATTTAAGCCACCCACGGGGGGGGGGGGGGCGCGGGGGCTTGAATCCCCAAAGGTTTTTGTTCAGCCAAGAATCTGCGACGAAGAGTCGGGGGTCGAAGATGCTTGCCTGTAGTGTGAGGGGGTTTAGGGCTTTGGGCTTAGGGTTAGGCCTTAAGGTTGATGTCTTAGGGTCTTAGGGTTCATGTTGCAGATCTTGGGGGCTTGGGTGCAGGGTTGACTAGGGTTTCGTGGAATTTTGCTTTATCTAGGGGGCTTTTGGGCTTCGGGAGGTTGCCGTCAGGTCGCCCTAAGGGCAATTCTGGCTAGTCCTGCACCCTCGGTTCAAGCGCGACTCCCTACAGACTCTAGGTAAACCTCTCATGGCCAACATCACGAGCCTTAACCAGCAAATGAACAAATAAGCAATCGAGAAAGTCGCAAATCTGGCAAATCGGTGCCCGGGACCTTCAACTCTGAAAAAACCCTAAACCCTAAACCCCTAAACCCTAAACCCTAAACCCTAAACCCTAAACCCTAAACCCTAAACCCTAAACCCTAAACCCTAAACCCTAAACCCTAAACCCTAAACCTCATCAAGGTGCAAGTGGTTCCAGGACACGAAGGATATGGGCTGATCTCGTGAGGAGTAGCCTGGACAGGTCTGTGAGATCTATATATATATGTATATGTATATATATATATATATATATATTAGGCTCTTCGCCTATGGGGAGGGCTTACTGCCTGTCTATTCGACCTATGTTTCAGCCCTAAATCCTGAAAAAAGCCCCGAAAGTTGAAAGTTCAGCCGTGGCCTGCTGGCTAGGTAAGAGATCTGGGGGCCCTCCCCTTTAATCCCCAGCCCCAACAAAAAGTGGAGGGGGGGGGGGGGGTTGTGAATGCCACCTTGTGGTTGCATGTTCTCTGGCCACGAAAGGGATGCAGGACTTCAGGTTCTACTTATTGTGCCAACACGAATCCGACGACGGAAAGTAGGGCACATGAAATGTCGACTATCCCTGCCAAACCTCACCCTACAAACCATAGGCGCAACCTCAAATCCTACAAATCCTCTGTAGCTAGCAGGCCAGATCGCCTCATTACTAATTTTAAATAGCAGGCCACCCCTAAACTTTAAACCCTAAACCCTCAGCCCTAAGCCCTAAACCCTAACCCCACCCCCCAACCCCAAAAAAAAAAAAAAAACAACAAAAAAAAAAGAAAAACCAAAAACAAACACGTAGCCATTGGGGTGGGGGGGGGGGTGCAAGCCCGGGACGGTTCACTGATTGCCAAGCCCTGCCTGGATCCCAGGACAGCAAGTTCGGGCCCAATAACCATGTCATACTAAGGGCACCCTTTTGGGGGTTGGTTACTCTATCAGGGGACCTTGAACTAAATAAGGGAAAGGGTACCACTGGGCTACCAAGTTTGTATTCTATTCGTGAGATGTCGGCGAAAAGGCCGATTCGGCTTTTTTGTTGGCAATCAGGAGGAATACATGAAAAAAACAGCGACAAGCACACGCACACGCACATGCGCACATACACACACACAAAACAAAAAGAAACAAACAAAATAACATAACGATACCACAAATGTTGACGCAATGCTGGCAAAAAAGAAGGTGAACGCTACTGGAAACCCTGAGCCTTGAACTCTCAACCCCTAGATCCCGGAAGCCCTAAACCCTATGTAAACCCTATACCCTAAACCCTAAGTCCCTAAATCCCGAAATCCCGAAACCCTAAACCCTAAGTCCCTAAATCCCGAAACCCAAAACCCGAAAGCCGAGAACCTTGCCAAGCAGCTCGGCTCCAACCGGCCCTTCTTATCCTGAGCCACGGCGTCGTGCTGGAAGTCTAGGGGCATCCTCACAGTCGCATCTAGGGTTTAGGGTTTAGGGTTTAGGGTTTAGGGTTTAGGGCTGAGGGTTGAGGGTTGAGGGTTTCCTGGAACAAAAGGGTGCCCTTCTTGTTTTGAAGGCGCTTATACAGGAACCTAGGCCCTACAGTAGAGGGTTTAGGGTTCTTGGAGGGTTTAGGCCTTAGGGTTTAGGGTTGCAGGGTCAGATTTCTCGGGGGTTGAGATGTTTGGAGCCAGGTTTAGGGTTTCAGGGTTTAAGGGTTTAAGGGCTTAGGAATTAGAGTTTCGGGTTTGGGAGATGTTCCCTCAGACTGGGAGGTGGAAGGCGGGGGCGTCTGCAACGGTTGATTGTTGGGAACGAGGCGTGCCCAAATCCCTAAACCCTGTCCCTTCCTTCCCCCACATGCTTCGGGCAGTCAAGCAATTCTGCTGATCCCAAGAGTGGGTGCTTTACCGATTTACCCACAGCCTACATGATCCTAACCCTAAACCCTAAACCTTAAACCCTAAACCGGCCCCAACTCCTAAACCCCTGCTGCGTATATCACCCCGAACCCCCAAACCCCTAAGAACGAACCAAGTGCTGCCCAGGAGCAGAGACAAGCCGGCATAGGCCTGGCCCATCTCCAGAGACAGGTTCCTGAGTAATTTGGGTTTAGGGTTTAGGGTTTAGGGCTTTGGGTTTAGGGCTAGGCCTAAACCCTAAACCCCAAACCCCAAACCCTAAACCCTAAACCCTAAACCCTAAACCCATATGGGGCATATCAACCCACAGCCAGCTTGCAGCTTGCTGGTGCTTGTTGGAAGCCGGTGCTCACGAGCCCGAAACATCTCCGACTGGACCCAAAAAACTCAACCCTAAACTCTGTACATTGGGATGTTCTCGCCTCATACTAACAGTATACTAACAGTCCTTAGTAGGGATTCAAGTAGGCCCCCCCCCCCCCCCCAATTCTAATCCCTATTATACAGGGGAACATCGCAACCCATACACCCTAAGCCCTTAAATCTACAAGCCATGAAGTCACTGCCCTAAAACCTAAACCCTAAAGCCTTAAACCTATAAGTCATGAAGTCACTGCCAGGTGGCACGGAGTTGTCGAAATCCAACTCCAGAGCTGGAGCCACGGCGTCTGCGCCGAAGAAAACCTGGACCCCAGGAGCCCGACACCCTGAACCCTATACACCCTATAAATCGTATAAACCCTAAACACTAACAGGGAGGGACCCCTAGAAGGGACCTTTAGTCCTATTCCCCTGAGAGAACCCCTATACATACCTTACATAGTCCCTATCTACCTTAGTTATATTATCAGCCCCTGACCAACCCCTAGATAACCCCTAAGGTCTCTTGTAATAGGATCCCTCCTTAGTCCCTTGATATATGCCTGAACCTTAAGCCCTACTTGAAGGTTCAGGGGTAGCTACGAGTAGGGCTATAAGTACCCAAAAAGGTTATACTCGGTTGTAAGGCCCTCGTCTTGCTTGACCAGCACCAAATTGCCATGAAGAAGCCGCCTCTTCTGCTCAAGACTCAAAAACAGCACGGCGGAGGGAGCCCGTTGCTTTGTGAATTGGGACAGGTTGTAGCAACAAGTCTCAAGCTACTGTCCCTCTTCAGCGCGATAGGTTTCACAGCACTCGACCCTAAACCATAAAACCTAAAATTAAACCCTAAACCCTAAACCCTAAACCCTAAACCCTAAACCCTAAACCCTAAACCCTAAACCCTAAACCCTAAACCCTAAACCCTAAACCCTAAACCCTAAACCCTAAACCCTAAACCCTAAAAACCAAATCAAATCGAACCTGGAGGCTCAGGAGGAAGACACACCATGCCCCAAATGCGACCATTCAGCCCCCGCTGTTCTCAATCTTCGTGAACACTTGCAATAGTCTGTTGGGACCCTTCGCCCTGAACCCTAAACCCTAAACCCTAAACCCGAGTTCTGGGTTTCAAGGCAAACGTTCCCAAAATAGAATCCGGGACCCCAACCCCAAAACAGGAACCCCGAAATGGAGACCCCCCCCCCCCCCCCGCAATGATCGGGAACCTCCCCAGAGAGAGGGATCACGGTTTAGGGTTTAGGGTTTAGGGCTTAGGGTTTAGGGTCCTGTAGGAAGGGGCGGGGTTTAGGGTTTAGGGCATAGGGTCGACCTGGCATTTTTTCCCTACAGCTGAATAGAAATCTGCCAGGCGACCCTAGTCTAGGGAAGCCTGAAAAGCTCTGGGCAAGGGATGTTTTTCTCTGCTCCCCCGCCCCCCCCCCCCCCCCCCCCCCCCCTACAAATCGCGTCAGCACCAGGGGGTGTTTTACTTGGGCCAGCCAGAGGGAAGTCTGCGAAAACCACCCGCCTGCCCCTTGCCCACACCACCCCCACCCCTGCCTGCCCCCTCCTCCTGCAGTGCCCGCAAATAGTCCATAAAGCTGCAGGTAGTAAGAGAGTCCCAAGGAGGAGCCCAACCGAACCCAACCGAACCCAACCGAACCCCCAGATTTCTAAAAAAAAAACCTGAAGCCAGGGTCCTCAACCATATAGGGTTTTTTAACGTTAAAAAACCCATTTTCCATTTTTTTTAGGGTTTTTAACGTTAAAAAACCCTAAATGCATGATTAGGGCATAATAAGGGCTCAGGGATTTGGGATGACGGAATGTCGGCATGAGGGTGTAGGGTTTAACAGGCTCAGGTCCTGTAGTGCTAGTACGGCTTAGGTTATTAGAGAGTTTTTAGGGTTTTGGGTTTAGGGTTTAGGGTTTCTGGCAACTAACTATAGGGCTCTGTGGTGTCTCTGTTTCGATTCAGGGCTTAGGATTTAAGCGAGAAGGGAGCCTGCAGACGTCCATTGTCAGCGTGGTACCAAAGACGGACCAAGTGGATCATCTGCCGAACCTCCTTGGTTGAGCTATACTGAACTTGGCACCCTAGCAGAAATTAACAATTTAGCTGTTCCTTAAGCGAGGACTACGGCTGGAGCAGGGCTTAGGGCCTGAAGGCTTAGGTGGCGGCGGCGGTGGTGGTGGCACTCTTCTTAGTTGGAGGTTGTGAAAGCGAAGCCTCATACACTAACCTTCACATGGCGGTTGAAAGAACGCATCACCCAGTAGCTCGATGAAAAGACCCTGATCCACGCAGGCAGCTCGATGCTTTTGCGATGCGGGCCCATCGAGAGATGGACAGCCTGCTGCGTTTGCATCTGGCCACCCGCAAGACAAGAGAACGCTTTGCTCGGTTGGATACGTCGACACCTGCGCAACAGTACACAGAGAGCGTTCCTGACACACGCACATCGGCGCCAGCCCCGATAAGTAAGCGCACGAGGTCCACATGGCCCCGCCAGCTCGCCGCAGACAGCGGAGTTAGGCGAAGATCGTAAGCCGGCGCATAGGAGCTTCGATGAACCTTGGCCCCAGCCTGCAACAGCAAGCGCGCCACCTCTGTGTGCCCTGCCTTGTGGACGAAATGAACCCTAAAAGGGTTTAGGGTTCATATACCTTAATAGGAATTACAGTAGTATAGGGTATATGACCCAAATTTTAAGGTTCATTTGGTCCCCAAGGTGCCCAGGCTGCCCTGCAAAGATGCGAGCTGGAGAAGGGGTCGGGTGGGTCTGCGCTGGCACGGGCTTCCAGAAGCATTTCAACGATGGCCGCGCTCCCGTTGTGAGTTGCTGAAGAAAGAGAATCGTCGAGCAGATTGATATACAACGGCGAGTCGCATGCCTCCTCCAGCAACAAGCTCAATGTCTCCGCCTGGTCATTCATAGCTGCTGCTTGAAGAGCGCTGTATCCACGTCGAAGACTCCTGTCATCGTACAGGCGAGCGCGGGCCTCCAGCAGCAATCGTGCGACTTCCGAATGCCCATGGTACGAAGCTGCAACAAGGGGGGTCAAATATTGACTGAACCCCATGGGCTCATCATCATCCAACAGCGCCTCCTCGGCCAAAAAATCCGGGTCTTGGGGTCGCTGCAGAATTTCCTCGGCCTTTGCCACACGTCCGCGCCTAGCGGCATCAAGGAGCTCACCCTTGTCTGACCTATACTGAACATGGACCCCTAGCAAAAACCACAAGTTTGGCTGTTTCTTGGGAAGTGCAGAACCCTAAGCCTAGCAAAAACATATGTTTAGCTGTTTCTGCGGAATTACTGTACCAAAAACATGAAAATTATTCCCAAGAATCTCTAAGTGACAACGTGGCGTCGCAGAAGTCGCTTAGCAACACTATTTGGAGCTCCATGGGGGCATCCAGCAAGCTCTCCTGAGGGCGCGTAGTCAAGTGTAATGCAGAAAGCTAGACCCCGCCGCCTGCTTCTTATTCAGAAAGCTTAAGAAAGCCCAAAAACCCTAAACCCCAAACCCCGAACCCTGAACCCCAAACCCCAAACCCTAAATCCTAAACCAGGACTTACAGAGCACAGCAGAGGATCATCATCCAAGCAGGTATCTCCATGCAGCAGCCTCTGCCTGAATCGAGGGACACCGCAGAGCTTCTGCAATCGCTGCTTCAACGTCCTTGACCCCCGCAAGAGGCTTACGATTGAGAGTGGGGGCCTGAACAATTAGAATAGGGTTTTGGAGGGTTATTAAGGGGGGTTACTACAGCATCATAGTATAGGGAGCATACGGAATACTATAATTATGATATTGGAAAATATGCCGACCGCTGTAGTAGGGTGCTTACTCCTGGCACCGGCTGCCATAGACGGATTCTAGACTATCGCCCATTATAGGGTTTAGGGTTCAGGGTTCAGGGTTTAAGGTTTAGTCCTTACGGGGGGTGGGATCATGGGGGTCGGTACCTCGCGAACCTCAGGGAAGCTTAGTGGGGAGTACTCGGGAACCTTGGTTACGCACCCCCCTTGAACCCGACTCCCTTAAGAACGCTTTTTAGATCAGAGCCAGCCCTCCAACACTTACACCAGCCGAGCGTGCATCCAGCTTGAGGGGTTGCAGCTTCTAAACCCTATAAACCCTAAACCTTAAAAAGTTGCATGCTTATACGGTTCATGGGGCTCATATGTAGGGCTTAGGCTTACTGGGTGGCGCAGGTTACTTGACAGCCAGGTCCTGACTGACATGCTTTCCACTGGCATGGCCGCCAACGCATGGCCCGACACTGTCCGGATGCGCAACATCGGCCGGCGAGTCCGGAAAGGTGGCTTGTTGTTCGGGCTTAGGGCTCTTGAACCTCAAAACCCTAGGCAGACACAGAAGGGAGTTTGCGAACATAGGGGAACCTCAATATACACCCCCCAGATAGTAGGAGTCCCTTTAAAACAAAGGACCCCCAATAACCCTATAACCCTAAACCCTGAACCTCAATTTCGGAAACTCCCAACAAGTCTCCTCGAGATCTTGAAACCCAAAGCCTTCGTTGAACGCCCTCAAGCGACTGTGAGATCAAAAAAGCAACCGCTGCGCCGGCCCTACACTTAGGGTGTTAGGGTTTTAGGGTTTAGGGTTCAAGGTTTTGGGGTTTTAGGGTTTAGGGCGTAGGGTTTAGGATTGGGGGTTTGGGGTTCGGGGTTCGGGGCTAGGGTTCGAAGTAAGTAAGACCAGAACTCTGAGCTTTGCAACCCTCGTCCCGACAACTTGGACTCGACATGCACGTGGGTTTTTTTCCTCAAGTTTAGGGTCCCTTCGGGGGTTCCCTACATGGGGAGTTGGGGTTTAGGGTTTAGGGTTTAGGGTTTAGGGTTTAGGGTTTAGGGTTTAGGGTTTAGGGTTTTCAGGGGTTTCGGGGTACTGTAAAGAGTCTACATGGGGGTTGCCGAAAATAAGGGTACTCTTTTTGGGGGCCCCTTTAAGGGGATTCTATTCTATTCCCCCACCAAAGGTAAACAAGACTTTTATTTAGACCCCATCAGAAACGCGCAAAACAGGGACTGGGGGCTTAGGGTTTCTACCCAAACCCCTAAACCCTGAACCCCAAACCCTAAACCTGAAAGCTTAAACCCTAAACCCAAACCCTAAACCCTAAACCCCAAACCTGTCATGCACCCTCTCAGCTGAGCTTCGGCAATCCTCAGGGTGGTGCGACCCAGGCCTTGAAACAAGCGCAGCAGCCCTAAACTTAAACCCTATAACTTTAGCTCTGCAGGGTTTAGGGTTTAGGGTTTAGGGTTTAGGGTTTAGGGTTTAGGGTTTAGGGTTTAGGGTTTAGGGTTTAGGGTAACACATGTTACCTACAGCCTTATGGGTTATACCTACTAATTTAGGGTAGTTGCTACTAAACTGTAGGTAAAATAGAGTCCCAGGTAGATGCTGAAACTGAAGCTCTGTAGGGCTTAGGGTTTAGGGTGTGGAAGGTTCAAAATTGCCTCAAGTCTCTCAAAATACAGTCGCGCGAGACGGAAGGTACGCTGGCTACTCTGGGCCCGAAATCCCCGAACAGCTCTTTGCTTTCTCGTAGATTAGTGTTCTAGACCCGGGAGTAACCTAGGAACCTCTGATTACACCAAAACAGAGTTTGGCAAGAGTCGCCCATTGGTGGTGGTATATGCAAGGGCGAACTCTACTCTTTTTTTTTTTTTTTTGGGGGGGGGGGGGGGGGGGGTGGTGGTCAGGGGTCAGATTGCAGGCTCCTCCCCCCTCCCTCATTGCTAGGCTATATACGCCAGCCATTCTGATTCTACACAGCTTTTCATACAGCTAGGTGTAGGTAAGGCGCCCTATCCCGAAAACTCTATACAGGTCGGACAAATTACTAATACTATCCCTAACCCTAAAACCCAACCCTAAACCCCAAACCCTAAACCCGAAACCCTGTTCGAAGATTCAGGACCCCTACATGTAAATTGGCCTCAAGGCGCACTCCAAGGAGGCGTGCTGCCCTTGGCATTCCGAAGGCGGCGGAGGTACATGGAGAGCGAGACCTCCGAGGTTGGAGCTTACAGGGCTCCTGGTGGTTAGGGTTTAGGGGGTTTAGGGGTTTAGGGGTTTAGGGGTTTAGGGTTAGGGTTTAGGGTTTAGCGTTTAGGGTTTAGGGTTTCGGGCCCACGGCTTACAAGGCTTGGATTGCTTGGAGGGCTTTGGACTTCTAGGGCTTACAGGGCTTATAGGGCTTTGGGTTTTGGATTGGCCCAAAGGCGCAAGATTGACCAAACGGTGCCGAAACCATGGGTAAACGCCAAAACCCTCACCTCGTGCTGTATCCCAAGCCCTACTTGGAGGTACATGGTACTTATTAACCAGTATTACTGTACTTATAGCCCGCTTACAAGCCCTTAAGAGCTTATAAGATTAAGAGACCTAATGGTTATAGGTATAGATATAAGTGCAGTGATAATTGGTTAATAAGTACCATGAACCTCCAAGTAAGGTCCTGGCATGCCCATGTGTAGACAACGCTAAGCCGAAACCCTAGAACCACCGAAAGGGATCAAGGACCCCTAAACCCTAAACCCTAAACCCTAAACCCCAAAGGGATCAAACCCCTAAACCCTCAACCGTGAACCCCAAAAGGGATGAGGGACCCTTAAAAACCTAAACCCTAAACCCCAAGAAGATCAAGGACCCCTAAAGCCTAAACCCTATAAACCCTAAACCTCAACCCTAAACCCTAAACCTCAACCCAAAAAAGGAAACAGGACCCTTGTTCTAGGACAGCCTAAGGCGAGGCGGGCATAGGCCTCGGCCACCGCCGCTGAAGAGGCACGATGTGGGAGCACGCGATTACTGATAGGTTTAGGGATGAGGTTTAGGGTTTAGGGTTTAGGGTTTAGGGTTTAGGGTTTTAGGGTTAGGGGTTAGGGTTTAGGGTTTAGGCTAGACGCGGTACCCCGGAGAATACGGATGCACGTAGCGTCTTTGGATCCTGTCTAGGATTTAGGGCTTCGGATTTAGGATTTGGGGTTGGGGGGGGTTCTATATATTCATGGTGGTTTACGAAACAGAGGAGACCCCAATATAGATCCCAAATGGTAGGATTCCTTAAATAGGGTACCCCTCATTCGGAAACGCCCAATATAACAAAGCAAGAAACCGGGAGACCATGGTTTTAGGTTCGGGGTCAGGGCGATTGGGAGCGGGACTCGGTCCAGAGACGTCTTGAAAGCGCCTTGGCCCAAAAGCCTCTACAGTCTACAGGACACGCGAGGCCCAATGCAAGAGAGAGAGAGAGAGAGCCCTACACCCTACACCCAAAACCTAAACCCCAAACCCAAAACCCCTAAACAAAACGGAAGCCTAGACAGAAACCATGAAGACGGGTCAGAAGTGTGAGAGAGAGACAGAAACAGATAGAGGGAGAGAGGCGAGAGAGAGCGAGAGAGAGGGGAGAGAGGAGAGAGAAGAGGGAGAGAGAGAGGGGAGAGAGGGAAGAAGAGAGGGAGAGAGGGGAGAGGAGAGAGGGAGAGAGGGAGAGAGGGAGAGGAGGAGAGAGAGGGAGAGAGGAGAGAGAGAGAGGGAGAGAGGGAGAGAGGGGATGAGAGAGGGAGAGAGGGAGAGAGGGAGAGAGGGAGAGAGGGAGAGAGGGAGAGAGGGAGAGAGGGAGAGGAGTGAGAGAAGGTGAGGCACAAATCTCAACCCCCTACACGCTAGACCACCTAAATCTAGACCACCTAAATCAACAGGCTACAAATCCTAAACCCCAAACCCTATAAAACTGAACACGGTTTAGATTGCCGTTGCACTTCACAATCCGAAGACAAACCCCCAACCCTTTTGCGCATCCTAAGACCCCATCCCTACACGAGGAAGATCGCGCGTAGGTACTGGGCTTAGGGTTTATAGGGTTTAGGGTTTAGGGTTTAGGGTTGAGGGCCTTCAGATCTGGCTCCACTGTCCTCGCGCCCCTTTTAAACAACGCAGTTTTTCCGGCCATGTACGGTATTATATTAAGATGCCCAACCAAAGCTCTGCTACATAACCGCCGGTTTTAAGCAGGGAGTGAGGCAACGAGGTACCCTAAGTAATCCCTTAATGGGTTCATGTCGGGGGATATAGGGTGCCTCATTCCCTCATTCCTTACTAAGAACCCTAAACCCTAAACCCGAAACCCTAAACCCTAAACCCTAAACCCTAAACCCTGACCCCCAAGCCCTAAACCGGCCAGACGCAGGAAGCCCAGATGCTCGACCTCCAATGCCAGGCACTCACCCAGTGACGTCCAGAGAGATGGATGTCCGGGCAGGCTCTGCCCATCCAACTCTGCCTCCTGGGTTTAGGGTTTAGGGTTTAGGGTTTAGGGTTTAGGATTCAGGGTTGGGGGCTTTTGGTCCTAGAAACCTCATTACC